TTCCCCCCCCCCCCCCCCCCCCCCCCCCCCCCTATCCCTCCCTCTACCCCTATATTTAATCGACAGAAAAAATCAAGTGTCAAACGCAAGAATTACACATTACAAAATACAATTCATTTTTGTAGCTAATTTGGATTAATAATTGGAGAATCCGCAGCCAGCCAGCTACCAAATGATGGCCTTCGACGTACATTGCTATGTTCATTTCATATTTAGGAGTGCTCCTTGCTTATGGCCAATGAACAGGTGAGTGATGATGGTGGTTTCTGTGGCACTAATTTAGTTCTAATCTGAAGTCCTAACACAAGGGCGAAGTGCTTGGTGTTCATCATTTCAGTTATAATTTATTTATTTTTGTTGGGAGTGCGAGGCGAAGGTATGAAGGAGACTCTGGCAGTGATCGCTCTCGGCTCGGTTCTGCCCGAGCGACCAAGGTTTGCCGTCTGTCGAATCAGTCGACGGGGAACATTCGAAATCGATAAAATTGTTTCTTTTTTAGACTTTAAGGAATCGTGGGCTGCTTATGGTATTTCTTATAGATATTTTGGAGAAAGCGTTGTATTAAAAAAAATATAATTTCTGGAAATTCGGCCCAGTGTTATCGCTTTCGGATCTCCCCTTCTTTATTTAATATTTATCATTTTCTTTAAAAAAAAGATAAAAGTATCATCGATGGTTTTATTCAAAATAGGGATAGAATGGCTCAGTGAGTTGTTGCTCAATCGGGAGTGCCGATGCTGAGATTCGATTCCCCGAAGGAATAAACTTGAATATACAAAAATCCGGGTGATGCTGGCGATTCACCTGTATTTCTATCGCTAAGAGACTCCCTGGCATATTTGTCCGGTGGGACAAGCCAGTGGAGGGAGTTTAACCAGTGATGGTGAGGACTCTTAAAAAAAAATTATTCAAAATTCGTGTCAGGTTGCTGCACATCAAGCATGAAATCTTAAAATCTTAATTTTCAATTTTCAATTATTTGCCAGTAATACATGCAGTTCGATATCACCTAATTTCCCTTTACGTTGATTCGATTTGCTAGCTCTTCGTCACATTTTTTTGTTGTATATCGATGCCACTAAATCTGTTTTCGTTTGGCACTCCATTTAATGGAAGCGCATTTTGGACTCCTTTTTCCTTTTTCTAAGAGCACTCACCATTTCTGGTAAAACTCATTCCGCTAATTTTGCTGGAAGTAATTCGGCGAAAGAAGTACCGCCGGCATCATCCGCTTTTAATAGGCAGATTTATTCTTGTCGGAAGTGAAAACTGCACCATTGGCGTTAGGAAATTAGAACCCACTGAACTATTCCTATAAGAGCACGATATGTGTGAAAGATATGCTGTATGTTTTAACCATGTTTACTATTCATAGTAAATGTAAAATCAGTCAATTTTTAGGACTAAAGATAAGCAGCAGTAAGGCCTTAGGTATTTGAACAAAAGTCATAGAATCCATATCTTTTCTCCAAGGCATAGGTTGTGGGTTGTTCCAGTGCAACTAACCAAGATTTATAAAAGGAAGTAACAAATGTTCCTCTTTTATATATCGTAAATTTGTTGGAAAGTAAAGAATGATTTGTGTTTTGAATATCTGTAGAATGCAGCTAGTGTATATATTTCGTATTACTTTTACAGTTGGCGATTTCGTGTTTTCCATTGCATGAGTCGGAAATTTTGGCCAAGATTATTAATATATAATTTAATCGAACGGCTTGACCATATTTGTTTGTAACGCTGTTTCCTTCCTTATGATTTATTGTGCATTGTTCATTTTGTTGTGGATGGTATGTTAGTATGAGTAGCTGTGATCTATTATTATGTATTATTATAATATTATTAAAATATTATAAGATCTCGCAGTTGAATTGTTCTAAATTTTTATCACAAATTTCTATAACTTTACAGAACAATTATAGTGTAACGAATGAGATACAAGTGATTTAATTACGGTGAGATTTTGTTTTTAGTAGAATGGTGGAAAAACTATATTTTACTATTCTATAAGTGGTAGTGAATGGAATGCTGAACACTTCGCAGTATCAAGACGACCATAGCCATAACTTATTAGTCACGAAAGGATATTGAACTCCTAAATGAAGATAAAACTTTTAACCGAACTTCACTGGCGAGTGGAAACGACCTCTTATAACAGCATATTTTGCACGAACCGATTATATTGCTATCGGTTTAACTCAGTCTCTAAAACGTTTGGCAGAAGATTCCCTTCCTGTGTACATCAGAAGGGATCTGGGTACGTCAGGGAATCTATAGGAATTGTGGGAGTGAGGAAACCAATTCGAAATGTGCGCGGATATCCAATTAAGCCTGGATCATTAATTCTGGTTATAATAGGTAATAGAAATACTTTTCAGCAAGTGAAATGACCATTCCAAGTTGCTGATATTTTCAAATATGAAATAACCATAAAATTGGCATAATAGACGATGTCAATAAAATCCACACAACTCATAATCATTTCAGCAGAGGGTCTGATGTTTTAAAATCGATGGAATGATTAATGTGAAACACTTTCTATCACCTTTGCCCTTATACTTTTGATTTATTGAAATCAAAAGGTTTAAGTGCGCTGGATCCTTCCGTATGAACCTTTCTGCACCATTCAATTTATGTGTGAATGTTTAATTTGTAAAACTTTCAGATAACTATTTTAAATGTAAATTGCAAACAAAATAAGTTACAGCTTAAATTTAAATGTCGCAAGGTCGAATGAAACTTAATATTTATTTGCAAAATTAATTAGAGAATGAGGCATTTCTTTATTTGCATTAACAATTATCTTCTTCTAACAGATCTCACCATAAGTGGCTAGGCCAGCTCCACTGGCTACAAAGCCCGGATCATGGCAGCTAAGACGCTTCCGAGCAGCGCGATCTGATGCCATTGTCGACAATAATAAAAGCCACTCTTTTTTCCATCGTCTAAGTCCATATATTGCTGGTCTACGTTCAGAATCTTTCTTGAATGTGTCTAGGTCTTGGTTGGCCCATCTCGCGTTTGATGTCACAGAGTTTAGAAAGTTACGAAGAAATACGAAAGAAATACGAAAAGTTACGAAAAAAAAAATGTCAATTATTCAATTTATAGTGGGCGACGAAGAACGTGCCCTAACCAGCGAAGACGACGCTCTGTAATAACCTTATTTGAGTGAAGATGGATACAGTCATGTACAATTTCATCCACTCGACGGATCTGTAAAATGTACCTTAGACAAGAGTGGTCAAATGCAAATAATTTCTTAATATCCTCCACTCTCATTGGCCATGTCTCAGAGCCATATAGCAGGATCGAACGAATCATTGCTATATAGATGCGGACTTTCGTTTTTATGGTGATTTCACGACAGCTCCATAAAGATATTGTCAACCGGAAGAATGCATTTCTAGCTGCCATGATCCGGGCTATAATATCGTCTTTTGCTTGGCCATTCGGTATTGAAGTGGATCCAAGATATGAAATTGGACACTTGGACTCCTCAGTTGGCAATGAGTTTATAATAAGAGGCTTTTTATCGACTTCTTGAAAATAAAACGAAAAAACTTTGTTTACATTAATCCTGAGTCTGATTCTCACTGCAGTTGCTGACACATTGTTTAGCATTGCTTGCATTTCATCGTAATTGTCATCAAAAAGGACTATATCATTAGCGGATTCGAGATTTGTGATGCGATGCTCTGGATTGATTTGGATACCCCTTGAGTGCCGAAAAGCGGTGTCCATTATCCCGTTTATGGCATAGTTGAATATTGTGAGGGAAAGTAGGTAACCTTGGCGGACACCAGTTCTTATTTTGAAGGACTTTTTCATCCTGTACACAGATATGCGCCGAAGTACGGTCATAAAATACCTTTATGAGTTGAATGATCTTCTCTGGGACCCCGTCAAATTCCATCACTCTCCAAAGCTCCGCTCTACCAATTGTATCGAAGGCCGCAAAGTCGATGAAACATGTAATGGTGGGTTGCAAGTATTTGATGTTCCAACACGCTTTTTAACGTGAAAATCTGGTCAGCACAACTGCACTCCTCGGTCTGAATCCAGCTTGAATCCAGTCTTTCAGTCCACAAGCCAGTGGACTGGGTAATACGGAGATTCAAAGTCCCAGTCAGCTCCAAGAGTTCAAACCCAGAGGTTCACTTTTGCAATCTTTCTTTAACTGTTTTAGGTGAGCATTTTTTCAAAATTATTTAAAATTAATTAAACCTTTCTAATTAAATTTCTCCACTGCTTTTGAAATTTAGAAATTTAGAAATAAATTTTGAAATTTATAGAACTTCAAAATTAAATGTTTCAAGATTACATTTCTCAGTTTTGCTATTCGAATGAGTTTAAACCGGAACGCGAAAGGTGATCGAACCCTCATTGCTTCTGACGGCACTTCTAATTCTCAGCCATCGTACCGAACACCTAGAAATCAGCTCATTTCGTGAACGTGTACAGTCGAAATAGGTTGAATCGGCGTTGTGCGTCTTCTCCTAGCGCAACAAGTAATAAATAATAAATGAATCGTAAATTGCAGACGTTTGTAAATCGTTAAGTTTCGTCGTAGATCATTTAAATAAGCATTTTTTAAATAATTGGAATTTCCGATTTATGATTTAAGATAATTATTTTGGAATAATTTAGGGGATCGGAATACGTTGTTTCGACACGACGTGCGAAGTAATCTCAGTGATAACTGTGAGCGGCAAACTGGAGAAGCGCCTTCGGCAGATTGCGGAACGACGTGCTGAGAAGAGCCAAGGCAGTGCACAGAACGCTCATTCCCCTGGTCTCTGGTGGAAGCGCGGGGTTGAGGGTGGCGCTTACCATCCGCAGAGGCTTAGGGTAAATCCCTATTTGCGATAAATCCCACTTGGTGATCCACTTAGTCCACCCTCCACCTTCTTTGGGTGGTGCTTATCATTGCTGGTTCGACTGACTGCCACTAACTAATCTTCTAATGCTACTTGGACTGCCTCCATCGGCCGTCCCAGTAAGACTAAATTTTTCGCGAATACAATTCATTTCGCTAATGTTGCGAAACGAGGCTAACAAAAAAAAGTGAATGCTAATCGCTTTTCGCTTTCTTTTCCTACTATTCTTTACAAAAGAATCTTTTTGTTAGAACTGAACGCACCAGAAAATTTTTCGATTTTTGATAAAATGCGTTCGCTCGTTTTTCTTTGTTCAAATTACGGGGAAATTTATTTTTAGTTTTTTAATTTCAAGTAAAAATTGAAACTGAGAGACGGAAAAGTGGAGGAAGCTGGATTAAAAACAAGTTTACTCTTGTTTGCTCGGAAATTTTCTCGGAGGCACCTTTTTGCTGGAGGCGATAGTCTAAGCAGCAACGTCCACTATTTCTGATTTGCTTTATCCCTCTGATTACTATGTGAGAGATGAGAAAGTTGGAGATAATTGCAAGTGGGAATAGAAGATAGGCTGCAGGATTTCAATGGATACTCTGAGCGAAACACACCAAATCGAAGCCGTTATGAATGGTGACATTCGGCTATGAATTCGACGTTAGTCGAAGCAACGAAGCATTCGATCATTTTATGTTTACTTATTTATTTATTTGTTATATATTAAAATTTATCGGTGAATTTTTCTAAAAAGTTGCACTCACATTCATTTTAAATGAAAAAAAAAGTGATTGAACATCAATGGATTTTTCATGAAATATTTCCAAAGAAGTCGAGAGAAAGATTTATAAATTATTTAAACGATCGCTTTATTCATTAAATTTTTTTATATCATTTTAAAAAAGCAGCCGGTCTAGTTTTAATTTCAGTAAAAAATTCGTAACCGAGTGGATAGAAGCAAAGAATTCAGTCTCTCGTTCCGCCGGCAAAAATAAATTTTCCAGTCCACGTGGTACTCACTTGTAATTCATTGGTAGCTCTGGCAAAAATTTTTAAGTATCCTAAGTAACTAAAAAAGCGCTGACAGTCTGCTTTATTTTAAATGGTTCAAATTACATGTAATGAAATGAAAATGCTAGAAGTCAAAATATTCTGTTGCCAAAAATAGTGGGAAATTTTATAAAATGGAAAGCATTAAGAAATAAAATTTATTTTTAGAGGTTTTTTCTGTAATACGTCTAAATTGAATATCCAGTAATAGGTTTAAGTTCCTAATTTGGTAGAAATTTTTAAATCAAATTCCAATCAGATTGACTCTATATTGGCGGTCACCGCTGGAAGAGTTCTGTACTTGATAATCGCTCTTATCGATCACTCTGTACTGAAACTGAAACTGGCAACTAACCGCCATGGATCAGATCATATTATGGTTCGAGTCAAAATTCATACAAAACTGACAAGTCGTAAGAAACAACGTATTCCGCGGTCTTTCAACTATTTCAAACTAAAAGATCCGGAAAACAGTAAGCGCATTTCAAACCGTATTATCGAAATACCTCGGTAAATGAACGTCAGTGACATCTCTGGAACGGCGAATAAATACTGGTCACAACTAAAAACATGCCTACAAGTCAGCCACTTCCACATTAGAGTATACTAGTAAGAATTCCGCTAGTTGAGTGTCGTATGCAACTGTCTAACTATCTGAAGGCTGCCAAAGCCCGAATATCAGGAGATTCTGGTTTATTGGATGCTTTTAAGAGTTACAACGACAGCAGCACGACGGAACAGAAATCGCTATTGGAGTGACATGGCCTTAAAACTAGAGACGGCTGCTCGATTAGACCTTTCGTCTTCTTCATAAAGCAAATATAATTCGAGAAAGAATTAGTGAAATGATGCGGAATATTAATGGGAAACCTGTTAGGGCTATTAAGGATCGCTTCATAAGATGGAAAGAATTTTTTGAGGCCGAATTTAACCAGGATGAGCTGTCCGTTATCCCGGATATAGCTGATTCACTCGTCGAGCCTTAAATTTGCAACTGTGAATCGCAAACAGAAGGTTATCTCTGTAATTCATAAACTTCAGACTAATAAAACTCCCGGAGAAGATTGGGTTGAACTCTTCAAATATTGTCAAAAATACCAGGACTGGAGCAAAGAAATTCTGCTTCCAATTCCCAAGAAAGGTGACAGGACATACTGCGACAATTATTTAAGAATTAGTCTGCTGGGCATCTCTGGAAAAATTTTCGCTTGTCTTCTCTAAATAGACTCATGACACGAGATAGTAGAATGCGTTCTAACCAAGCTGGATTCAGGCCGGGATGCAGTTGTGCTGACCAGATAATTATGCTAAGAAGGATGTCATTGCTTCAAATGCTAGCAACACAATGTCACTTCACTTCACAACATCACTTGCTTTATCCATTTTGCAGCTACTATCAATTCGATTGATAAAGCATCTTTTTGGAAAATTATGGATTACGACGTCCCAGAGAAGATCATTCGGCTCATAAAGGCATTTTATCATACCCTGGCACAGGTTTGTGTACATGGGAAACTGACAGATTCCTTCGAAATGAAAACTGGTATCTGTCAGGACTGCGTCCTTTTCCTACAATATTCAACTATGGGATAGACTAGATAATGGACGCTTGTCGGCATTCAAGAGGAGTCTGAATCAGTCCAGAGCATCGTATCACAATTCTTGAATACGCTGATGATGCAGTCCTTTTTGCTGAAAGTTATGACGAGATGCAAGTAATGCTAAATAACATGTCAGAAACTGCAGTAAGAATAGGATTCAGGATCAATGTATATAAAATGAAAATCTTTTCGTCTTATGTACAAGAAGCTGATAAAATACCTTTTTGCCGATCGAGGAAGTGCCTGATTTTAAATACCTTGGATGCACTCCAATACCGAATGGCCAGGCAAAAGACGATATTATAGCCCGGATCACGGTAGCTAGAAATGCGTTCTTCCGGTAGACGATACCTTTATGGAACTATCGTGAAATTACAATTAAAACAAAAGTCCGTATCTATATAGCCGTGATTCTTTCGATCTTGCTATATGGTTCTGAGACATGGTCAATGAGAGTGGAGGATATTAAGAAGTTATCTGCCTTTGACCACTCTTGTCTAAGGTACATTTTACAGATCCGTCGAGTGGATGAAATTGTACATGACTGTATCCATCTTCACTCAAATACCACTTGTATTAATAAGGTTATTACAGAACAAGCATTCGCCACAGGGATTGGCGCTTATTTCACTACTTGCTAAACCGTGTGATGGATGGCGTCAAAAGTGAGAGGGCAATCAAGACCTGGATTGATACAATCAGGAAAGATTTCGAACGAATAGGGCACCAGCGATATATGGAGTTAGACGGTGGAAAAAGGAATGGCTTCTATTACTACTAGCGATGACGTCGGACCGAGCAACTTGGAGCAACTTTTTAATTTTATAGCCAGCAGAGCCAACCTAATCAGTAATGGTGAGAACTGTTAAAATTTTTTAAAAATTTTGTTTCCCTATGTGAATGCGGTTAATAGGATTGAAACTGTCAAAAAATTTATATGGTTCACCTTCACTTCTTTCTTCAACTATTTATTGGAGCACTTAAATAGAAAAGTGGCTTCTGCAGATTCCAGCATCAGAAGAGCACGTTATTGGGAGCAGTAAAGATACTGCGTAAAAACTTCACTCTCTTAGGCCTCTAGTAGATAATCCAGGGTTTAGGATAAATATTACCGCCCACAAGAGAAAAAGATTTTTTTTATCTTTTGTATAATGATTGGTAACCAAATAAATTTTATTAGGGTGAATCAAGTGGTGCGTCTCTTCTTTGCATTTCTTTACATTGCATTTTTATTTCTCATTCTTCTTTTCTTAATTTTATTTCTAAATAATAAATAAATAAATTGTACCGAATTATATGGAAATTTAATTCTGCATTGTAACTACTCAACCTTTTTGTATTTTTCATGTTTAAAGATTTAATGAATTGATTTTCAGTTCAAAATTATTCAAAGATTGTCGCTAATTTTTAGACAAGAAAATTAGGCGAGAGTTGGTCGAATAGAATGTTTCTTCTGCTATTCGCCATAAGTTCGGTCCATTCATTTCTTAATGCATATAAATCATTCAGAGTGAAATTCGGGCCAATTTTATCCTAAATATCTTGAAATGATTCTTTTATTCCTCCATGGTAGACTGGGTAGGATTGATAGGATTTGCTGAAACATATTTTTGTGTAATCTTTGCAAAAATCCATCATTTTCTTCGAACAACATTCACCATTCTTGATTTAAATAACTCCGCTGGCTGTTAGGTTGAAATCTATTAATCGGAGGTTCTAGTGAATACAGGTTGTTATCACCAAATTTCATTTTTTATGAATTTCTTCCCGTCAAGAAGGGAAGCATCCAAGATGAAGAATTAAGCTTAGTCAGAAGTCTGAATAACATACTGGTTGGTCTCAAATTATAAAAACAAGCAATCGATTCATACAATCTAGAATCCTTAAAAATTAGGATAATTAATAAGGTTATGTCGATTAATTTAGTGACTATTAAAATTATGTTTAAATATGTATATAACAAAAATCGAACTGAAGTTTTAAAGTATACCATTTAAAGGATTTACTATATGTAATACTAATCCATACTTTTCAGTTCATTCAATTGTAATAAATTACCTAATAACTAATAGATATTAATATTTTATCCATCTAGTTTTAAGAACAAATTATAAATGATGATTAATGATGGTGGAATAGCTCAATGGATTGTATACTAACATTTCTCAGGTTGCCGGTATGCTACTCCCGGTAAGAATAAGCTTTTCAGAAACTCGGATTAGTGGCGACTCGTCTTTAAATATCGCCCTTTGAACTCAGTAGCTAAATCTATCTGGTCTGAAAAGTCAGCAGAGTGAGTTTAACCAGAAGTGGTGTTTATTTTACAAAAAATATATATGTTGGCAAAAATGGACTAAAAAGGAGCATTGAGGCATTGATTATAATAGCACAATAATATCTGATCCATTGAAGCAGGAATCTACCTCATTGGAGAGGACTCAAAATACAGACTGTGCAAAAAAGCTTGAGAAATTTTAGTGGCAATTATAATAACCTCTGAAAGGCATAACCAAGCTGGTATCTATTCGGCATATGGCTTAAAGCCTTATTAGATGGGAGATTTTTCAAAAATCGTGGAGAATAAAAAGGCGAAGGTCCTGTAGGAGTTGTCCATCCAGGCAAACAAACAGTTATTGGCCAATCAGCCAGGTATTGTGGTAGTGGATGAAAACCAGAAATCAGAAATGGATGTAGGAACATTATGAAGAATGAATATGAGAAGATCGAGAAATACCAGGAGCTGAAAAATGAAGTAGAGAAGACGTGAAAAGTGAAGGCCAAAGTCTCAGTGGTAATAGGAGCATTAGTCCTAAAATTGGCGCCTAAAGTGAAAATGACTTCAACAAGTTCTAGGAAGACCTCTAACCATAAAAGCGCACATCTAAATAAACTGCAGAACCCTCAGTTCCTACACCTTTGGTAGAGAATCCGATATTGAGGAAGGCTCACGCCACCCATAGAGGGTGAGGAAATGATTTAAGAAAACTTTTCTCATCCCCTGTGTGTGGTCACAATCATTCTTATCCTCGAATTTTCTACCAAAAGAGGCTGGGAGGATTAGGGTTTTTAGCTGTTCTTAATAGTGCGCTCTTCCGGATAGAGATCTCTGATGTTATTCCTAGAACCTGCTTAAGCTAGTTTTCCAGTTTAGAAGTCATAGTTTCAAGTGCTCCAATTATGATTTTGATCTTTACTTCCCACATCTTGTTCATTCTTCTTTCAGCCCTCAATATCGCTCTAATCCTATCTTTTCTATTCCTTCTTTTTGACGATCATTTCTATCGCTCAATCGCTTGCTACTATATCAATCATCAATGCTGATTTCTGATTCTTATCTATTACCAAGATGATTAGTCATCAGTAGTCAGCAGTTGTCTGGATGATGAGCAGTTGTTTGTCTGTTTGGATGGGGAAGTCCCATGGGATCATCGCTTCATTATTATCTACATTTTTCTGTGGAAATCTCTATCCATACCGAATAGATGTTTCTGCAAGATAGTGCAAGCTACTTGGTTATGTCCTTCAGTATATGTTGTTCCTGCTTGCATTTTATATCCTGCCACTAAATGTTGAACTGTTTCTTAAGGCTTTTTTGCATCTAGAGTCCTGTCTAGTACGGCAGTTTCGATGTATCTGGTGCTTAATTCTTGTGCTACTACAATCAATGTTCCAATGCTGCCTTTACAGACCAACTTTCTCCAACCAAATAGTAGGTTTTCATAACGCCGGCTTCCTCAGCTATCTGTCGGTGGTGCATTCCATGGAGGACCTTGTTTTGCCATGGTATTTTGGTATTGCTGATTGTTTTCCAATGTGTACATGTATCATTCTCTCAGCAGCTTATTCTTTGGTGCCATCATTCTGATATATATGAATATTTCGAGTTTCGTTCGAGACAGTGGGTTCCCCGCACAGCTCTTTTACTTGTGTCGAGTTCATAGGTTGATGCTCGAGACGATAATCCAAGCAAAAAACGCATGGTTATTCTGGCCGATGAAAAAAGTTGCATAATGGAAAATAAATTTTACTGATTCTTTAATTATTGTAGTTGCTAAGCTTATTCGTGGAATAATTTATTAAATGAAAATTATTCATGACATTATTTTTAATTTTTATTCTATATTATAGTTGTTTGCTGATACAAAAAGAATTTAATTTTGTTTTTGGATATTAATAATTTATATTATTCTAGTAAAAAGGCCATTGTATGTATGAGAGTGCTCTCTCTTTATATCTATTGGTATTAAATGATTTAACACCTTTTAAAACTCGTTGTATAATATCTTTCCAAATTGCACGATTTGTGTATCTACCAAAATCGCAATGCCCTCGTATTCCTGTTATGTTTTCTCAGTACCACAGATTAGAATGAGAACTTTTCGCCAACGAGTCTCTTGAGGATAGAAAAAGAAATCAGCAGCAATTTGTGTTATTTGTGGTCTTAAAATTTGTGACTGCCACCGCGACAACTTTTGTGTTCAGTGAAGTTAGAGAGACATTAAAGAAACATGAGAATGAATAAAATTTGGGAGGTTAAAAAGAGGTTTAGAAGGGAAGAAGGTCCTTTTACCAACGGTTTATGCAAAAAAGGCACCACGCTGCGATTGAATGTTTTATTAGTAAGATGACGTGTCAAAATTGATAAGACGAAACGATAAGCAGAGAAACAATAAATAATTAATTATTCTTCTAGTATAAAAGAAAGAATTTCGTCAAATATTTTTTAAAAATTGTAATATATTTGTCACCTTTCGGTTTTCCATGAAAAATACAACACGCAATTAAGCAATATTCAATTTTTAAAACCTAAAATTTGTTTATTTTTCTCGGAAATCGAAAATATAGCGATAGAAATAAAGATAGGTCAGTGGTACCAACCGGATTTTCTAATCACTTCTGTCAGAAATAGGCAATCGAATTCGCTCGTTGACGCTCGTTCATTTGAGTTTATCGGTGATTAATCTCCATTCGAATGGATTCTAATTGTCTTTTTTTTATTGTTTGCTATCGTTATTCACTACTGTTTGTTCCTCAAGAATGTTGAAATTCACCAGTTTTTGGAAATCTACGTCCTTTTAAGAATTTATTTTTTAACGATCCAACCATGTTCCTTCTCTTTTTTTAAGCTATTAAGTCAACAACTTTTGTTAGTACAACTGAAATCGATGGATCGTGTTATATCGTTCGATATCATTTGCTTCCTATTATTCACGTTTACCATTTTTCTATTTGTGGGGAAAAACTGAAAGTGTTTCGTTCATTCGTCGTCTTCTGCTTCAATTAGAGGAGAAAATTAACTTTATAATTTTTTCCTCATCGCTGTTACCATTACTGATGCGATTTTCTCCACAGGCAGTAAGGATGAGACGCTCGCTTCCAAGCCGCTCGATTCTACTAACTTTTTTTTTTGTGAAATTTTGGCACTCATTTAAAAATTGGTTCGTTGTCCGACTAATCTTCATTCAGTCCTTATCTTTTACATAATTAACTTTTATATAAACTTTATTAACTCTTTAGCTCTTGCATACATCAATAATTCGCCATCAAAGCAGTTAATTTCATCTTGGACTGCATATGAGATAGTTGAATGGATTGCTGCTTCGTTTAAAATAAAGTACCATTGAGGCCTCGATTGCTGTCTCTTCTGGATGAGCAAACCTCATTGTTAAAAGTTCCATCTGGATGGGTCTGTTCCGCTTGTATTTAGATTCAGATGAATAATCTATATTCCAGTGATTCTTCGCCGGAAGAATCATTTGTGTCCAGTGGAACCAGCTAAACAAGAAATGCTGTGTTAGAAGAGGAATGTTTATTTAGTTCGAAATGTTGATGTTTGATGTTTAATATCCAACATTTTCAACGAGTTCAAATTTTTTTGCTTTACGGATCTGTATTTGAAATCTGAATCTATTCATTTTATAGAATTGATAAAGGTTTTCTAAATAGCACAATTTTGACTTCTTGTGCCAATGCAGTACTCGAATTGAAAAGCCATCGTTTTTGCCAGCCGCTTCAGGTCAGTTTCAGTAAAAGAGAGAATGAGAATAAAATTATTGTCCAAGAGGTCGAGATTTAGATTTCATCGACAATGCTCTTAATAAATTAAAATAATCGTCGTCAAAATTTAATTAAGAGCTTGGCCCTTACCATTTCTGATTAGGCTGTCTTCACTTGTTATTGTACTGCTAAAATTAAAAATTATTTGAGTATAGAAGTACAGCACCACCGCCAGTACCAGTTGACTTTTTCATTTACGAATTTCAGTCGGTGAGCAGGAACCGAATCCGAATTTTTCAACACGAAATCTGAGTCACTTGTTTCGCCAAATTAAAAGGGGAAAAGAGAAACTGCAAATATTTTCGTTCAAAATAACCAGATTCATGTGATTTTTTTAAAACGACAGCTTTATTTCATTTCGTAGAAAAATTTTGTTGAAAAATCTTACTGTTTTTTAATATTTCATATTTTTCTAAAAACCTGTCTTTCATCATATGATATATGACTTTTTCCTAATATCAGCAATCACCATTTGTGGTTTGGCTGACTGCTAGAACGAGACCCACTCACTAGACACTCATTTAGGGGTGGAATTGCAAGTGGGTCGCCAGCAATCTCCTAGACCTTACTTTTAATGGCAAATATAATTATTATTTTGCAGATAAATTGATAATGTTAAGCTAAAGAATGCTTTTCTCTCATATAATTTTAATGATTGTCGCTGGCTTGGATCATTTATTTTCTAATTCTTCCTTGAAGTTCGATACAGTGGGTTTTTTTCTTTTTTGCGATTTTCTGCGATTTTTTCCCAGTTTTTCTTCTTTATTCACCATTCTCATTAAAGCTATGTCTGTTGGTGAATGTTCCTTCTCTGGATCCATTAATTCTCATTATCTCGCTCCCTGACGAATTGTCATCCCTAGTCACTAGAATCAGCCAAAATTAGAAACGTTAACTGCAGTGAGAACAAGAAAGAAACGTAGTTTGGTAATTTGAAATCTTTTGCTTGGATAGTGTTTAAATTCAACTCGGAAAGTCGAAATGTAAAAATGATCAATGAAATTCCTAAAAGAGTACTTATGATTCCTATTTGCTCTTATTTGTTTTATCTTACAGAGCTCCGAGGTTTTTTTAATGAATTCACGAAAAAACAACAGTCAAACAGGTGACTTTAATGATCATAAAAGTATTTTTTCCCCATTTATTTGAAGGCAACAAAATGCTTAGATTGCTTATTAAGAAAATCCATTTAGTAAACACATTTAAAGCGGAAAATTTCACTTCATAAGAGTTTTGCAAATATTGAATAAATCTTAAGTTCATTGCTTGGATATTCATGAAAGTTTTTTTTGCTCCATTTTTTAAGGAATTTCCTTTTTATCGGCGAAATTTTTTGAAGTTTCATATAATAATAATGATGATGGAATTATGGATGATCGAAATCAAGCGTTCTCCAGTGAAGAAGAAGAAGATGATCGCAATAATGAGGAGGACGATGATGAACATGAACATGAATATGATGACGACGAAAGCAGTCGTGAAGGTGATGTTGGTGATGGTAATAGCGATGATGATGAAAGTGAACCATATACAGCCACCAAAAATAACACCATTTATGGAGCGAACACTACCGATAGTATTATTGAAAAGTTAAAGTTTTCGCTAAATCGCATTCAGAAAATTTCCGCATATTAATAGCATATTGATATCTTCAGAAATCCGTTTATTACGATATTTTCGAAGAATTTTTATAATTCTGTAAATGTGGACGCAGCGAATTCCGGTGCAGATTTCAATTCGTTCAATAATAGGAAAACATTCAGCTGTCCAAAGATAAAAGAAGATTTTATTACGGGCACTAATACTAGTAACTTAAGTCCTGAAGACATTGGTATCATTGCTGCATTGGGTGATTCTCTTGCTGTAAGTCAAGTTTCGTCTTTTTTTCTTTCTTTTCTTTTCTGCCTTCAAGCTGATAAATGAAGCTCATGATAAGGTTGATATTCACTTGTCATTATTTCAGACTGGTCGAGGTTTATATCGAGCTGATATCAATTTCAGAGGAGGAGCCTTTCCGATTGGTGGAGATGCAACAATCGATGGTCTTATCACCATTCCGAGTAAGTGCTATATGTAGTAATTTTCAGATGTTAATTTTAAGATTTCTTCTATTCATATGCTATTTCATTAAAAAAATTTCTAAAATGTTGTTAATAATGCTGATTTTGAAGTTTAATATAATGGGTTTATTGCCAGAGAGTCATTTGGGGATGGGATTACAGGTGGATTCTTAGTATCACTCAAATTTTTTAATGACATATTCATTCGTGTCAGAAAGTTCAAAAACTTTGAAGATATTATAATTTAAGCAATTTAAGCCGTTGGATATTCTGACCCAATAAAGCTTTTTCAGTAAAGCGATAATTAACATGATTTAGATATTTTGCATGAATTCAATGGTAAACTGGTTGGCGCATCGCATGGAATGGGTAAAAAAACGGAACTACCTAATAATCAATTAAATATAGCTGAAGATGGAGCCACTTGTTCAGGTTTGCCAGCTCAGGTGAGCATGAGCAATATCATTCTATCATATCTTATGTTTTCACATATAGCCCGACGGAGTTAATTTATATTTTTAGGCAAAAGAATTAGTGGATCGCATTAACAACCTGCATAATATCGATGTTAAAAGAGAGTGGGCAATGATCATCATAACTATCGGCACTGATGAAGTAATTTTTAACATTTCTTAACTGATTATTGAACTTATATTTAGTAAATAAGGTGATAGATAGGATTATACTATTTCAGCAGCTGAGGTTAAGCCGAAGTATGGGTTCGATTCCTTTCCCTTGAGCGAATTTATCGATAAAAGTGAAATCCTGAGATAAGTCTGTCCTATCCATTTATGAATCATTAGCGAGATGGTAGTATCATAGCAATCAATAGAATCAGCAGAACCAGATATGGTAAGGATTGTTAGAAGAAGAAAATTTTATATAAAAAGCAGTTAAGAATATGTTGAAAGAGTGTACTGACAAGTTATGTTGCGTTATGAACTGATTCATTCCGATAAATTATGATGTTAAAGTTGTGTTCAAAAGATTTTTAAGATATGTTCACGATGTGAAGTTCCGAATTATAATGCACTGGAAGAAACATTGGCAATACTAAAGAACGGAATATCGAAGGCGTTTGTCATATTATTAGGTCCAATTCATGTATCCTCTTCTTTCCGAAGGCAAGCAAATCTTCTTAAGTTAGTTTTTTAAAATTTTTTGTTTAAAATTTATTCGAAATAAAGTAAGTGAAATATTTCGTCGTCCTCCATTATTTGATAATTAAATATTCTTTCAAGCGGACAGTAGTACAGATTCTTGTATTAGGAGGAAAAGTTTTTGCTTTCGCCTCCAATAGAATAACCTGTAACCAGAAATGATAAGCGCTAGCCATTTTTTTTATCGTTTTTTCTTTTCTTTCATTTTTCTTTTCATTTCGTTTTAGGTTGCGTTGCGCTTGTTTACGAGAAAAATCTAATAAATTCATGAAAGATTTAAGCAAATCATGGATAGAAATATTCAATCAATTGCAGAATAATTTTGATCGAATCGAAACAAAGGTGATTTTCTATTTTTATTAATTCATTTTTTTATTTCCTCATTGTGTCCTCTTATACGATACTGTTAACGAATAAATTTATCATAACGACTGATAAAAAAAGCGTTTCTATAAAGGGAGATTAAGTTACAAAGAAAATTTTAAAAAATGGAAGACTAAAGAAGTAAGGAGGTATAGAGGGATTTCGGGAAAATATTGCAGAGCTAGATAGAGGAATATAAAGGGATTTAAAGGGATTTGAATAGTGCAATCCATTATGTAAATATCAAAGTGAAAAAATCAAGTTTGAATTTATATATCGAAAAACCTTCGCTAATGTAAATGAGTGTTTATCGCTCAGCGTTTTAGCCTGGCTTTCTCTGCTAGCTACTAGAAGGATGAGGCTACTTTGGCTTGGATAGACGAATATAGGTGGATCTCCACACCACTTAGATTTTTTAATGGCAGACTTCCTGCAAAGTCTGGAGCATGAAAATAAAAACCTAGGTAATGCAGGATAACTGATGGTTGTTCCCCAGATTTTCTTCTCAAATGTTCGGACTTCACCAAGTAATTCCTTAAAAAAGTTTCTCATCTTATCAACAACTATTTGTTCTTAACCAGAAATGATAAGTGCTAGCCATCTATTTTTTAAATCACATTTCGCTAGCTTTGAAAGAATTTGCTGCTAATAAAAATTCCATTAGCAAAGGTGATTCCATTAATTTTTCTATGAATGAATGGATTTACTTCCATTAATAAATTTCAGCGTCCAACATTTAGTCTTCTTGTTCTTCCAATGCTTACGATAACATCTCGTTCTCCTCTTTCATTATTTATTGGGGACCAACCTCTGTTAGGTCCGAAAGGTCATGCATATGCCACTAAATGGCTATGGAATCGCTTGATTACTGGACCTGCCTATAATCTTTCGTTAGCTGTTCTGTCGCAAGATGCCTATTATTGCCCTTCAATGGTAAAGATTCTTTAATTTTCTAATATACCATAGTTGATATTTCGTTTTCTCACAATTTTAAACCTTCTAATGCATATTTAAAATAATCATAAAAACGTGATTTTTTGAAAAAATGGTAAAACTTTCATTTAGTGATTTCTTATCAAGAAATAGGATAGTTGAGTAATATGTTTCAAGTTTGCTTCTTCTCTTTTGCTATTGGGAATAAAATTCGAGTGGATTCGGGTGGTGCTGAGAATCTGGTATATTTTTGTTCATGGTTCTTTTTCTTTTTTTTTCAGCCATATTTCAAATATATTTCAGGTTTGTCCATACTTTCGAACGCAAGATAATCGTCAATATTGTCGTTTGCATCGATATGGAGATATCGAAAAGACTTCAGTAAAAAGCAATCGAAAAATGAGACGATCTAGAAAAAATCTCTACATTACTGCACTTATTGTCGTGCTTATTTCTTTTTGCTCAGTGGTCACCGTCGGATCGCTTTTATATCAAAGAAGTGTTGAGGTACATCGACGAAAACATTTCGCAAAACCTAATGAACCCAATATGAAAAGAGATGCACCTAGTCCACCTAGTCTACACAGTGAACGCCTTTCTTTTAGCATGTTTTCAGCCAGCACTGATGCAAGTATAATGGGCCTAGCTGAAGAGAGAATTTGTCAAATCAACAATCCCCAGAATATGGTAGAAAGTGAAGGTGGAATCAGTCAAATAGGCAGTTCAAGCCAATATCATGATATACCTTTAACTGAAATTGATAATATAAAGGGAAATCGTGAACGAGACGATCACTCCAGCCTATATGTAATTAGTTTCGGAATTGATGAAAAAAGGATTGGCGAAAAAAATTATCAATTAAGGAACCACCTTTCTAGTTCATCTTCATTTGCTCCAAAGGATATAGCAGATAGAAATGAAGGAAGTAATATTCCCCTCTGATCTATCTATCTTTTACGGATTCCGAGGGTCTAGAGGAAAAGCCGATTTTCGTTAGTCATAATTCATTTATTTCATTATTTTACGAGTGGAAGAATTATTTTTTTCCAAGTTTTGGTACTTTCCTGTTAAACTAGTGGACTTTCTTCATTCCTCTTCATATTCTTCAAAGGCCTCAAAAAAGTATATTTTGGCTCGCAAGTATAACAGGAAAGAAAGTTTTGAGAGTGAAAATAACACTTTTTTAATTTTTTAATTGCGTGATGATACTACTAATACTCCGTAACACTTTTCCGGAATTTCGGATTTTTTGATTCCGGTAGTAATATAGTTTTTGCATTAATTGTTTTTTATTCAGGCAAATCATGGAAGATTCGAGTCACTACGTGAACCAGAAACTATAAGAAAACATTTGTCCAATGATAATTCAGAAGAAAGGGCCTTGTTATAATCTAACAGTTTATACTATCAATAATTAAGCTGATTCCGCTGCTTACAAAGGCGAGATGTTGTTTCAAACCTTTCCAATTTGATGCCATATTTGAAAATTTTTTTTTTAAAATGTCCTCACCATTACTGGTTAAACTCGCTCCACTGGCTTGTCGCATTGGGCAACGTGCCAAGGAGTCCCTTTGGCGATAGAAATACAGGTGAGTCGCCAGCACCACCCGGATTTATTCCTGCGGGGAACTGCGGGGAATCGAACCTCAGCATCCGCACTCCCAATTGAGCAGCCACCCAATTCTATACCCGTATTTGAAAATAATAAAAGCTATTCCTTTTTCCATCATCTAAGCCATATATTGTTGGGTTATTTTTGCATTCAAAACCTCCTCTGACATCATTCCAGATTCTTACTGGTCCTCCTCGCTTTTAATGCCATCCTTCGCAACATTTCAGTCCCTATAATAGACGTCAAACACCTGCTAACCAACATAAGAAAGAAACAGATTATCGTAATTATCATAATTATCATTATCATAGATTATCATAATTTTTTTCTTATCCTATTCATCATCATTTTTGCTTGGGTATGCTTGTTAATGATCTCCCACTTTCTTTTCGCCATTAAATGTTTTTTGTACCTGATTTGGACCATTTACAACTTGGTATTCCAGCCTTCTGTGGTTTTTACAAAAAAATTTTTATGATTTAAATGAAGTAACGGTACTGGACTTAAACTGTGGATATTTACTGCCTAGTTATTTTTCCTCTCTGGTCAATAATCTATTGCATATTCATTGTGGCAATTTTTATGCTCACTTATACTTTATATTTTTTTATGTTTTATATTTTTTTAACTAATTCACTTCATTGCAGTGCATTATTTTTTAACTTTAATATTTCCAAATCAAACTTGGATCGGTTTTTATTTCGGACCAAAAATTTATGATTAAGCCCACTTCATTAGCTGTTAATAAGATGAAAAATTTTTGTCACTGAGTCACTTGCTTTGATCATCAGTACCATCCAAGCCTTTAATAGCTTTATTTCTACCACAGACACCTTAGCGTCCAAGATACAGCACGTAATCTTAACAACCGTCTGTTCTGCCTCTTTTCTATTAAAAAGTGCATTATCTTTTGCTAATTACAAAGTTCATAGTTATTGTGAAATTTAGCAATCTGGAAAAAATGAACTATGGTTTGCATTGCTTTATACACAGTATAAAAATCAAATTATAACATATAATAAAATATCTGGAAAGCGATAGATTATCAGCCTTCCTTATTAATCTTGATCTCATCAATATAAAAATAGAAGTATGCATAAATTAAAAATATCTGTTATATTATATTTCTGTTATATTATATTATAAAATATTTCCACAAAAATATCTGATATATACAATCTCAAAATATTCGAAAATATCCACATAATAATCTGAAGTTTCCGGCGAAAAAAGTTGCAAAGTTCCATTTTTTTATTAGAGCTTAGGTAAAAATTTTTGTCGTTCTTTAACATTCCTTATATACTAAAAATTATTCGTCATCTTCATCTCCAAAAGAAAGCAGTCGGCCATTGGAACTCACAGCTGCTGTCTGACCACATTGCCTATTTTTTTTTGATGAATTTTTCGAAATATCGTCTAATTCTTTTCGCTTTATAGGTTTTTTAAATGTTATTTTCCTTTCTTCTATCATTTTGCCTGAAAAGCTGGAACTTTAAAATCAATTAAATGAAATTGGAAGGAAAACCTTGTTGTTTTCAGGGAAAAATATGAGGTAAAATGAAAATTCTAAAGAAATGTAAAAAGTAGAGATTACAAAATATTTTTTTTCGATATTTCGCAGAATTTTGTCGTTAATTAGTTAATTAAATTATTTTATTATTTAATTATTTTATTTTAGTTAATTAAATAAATGAATGAATATATAAAAATAATTTTTTCATTAACCCACGATCATTCTCTTCCTTTTGTTTTGCCAGCTCCTTATCTAGCTGTTCTTTGCTCATATCTTTTTCTTCATCCAAGACAATAACCTTAAATTAAATTCGAAAAATTACTGAACGTTTAATGATAATGCTTATGAATTAAATAATTATCAGGTTAAATAGAAATAAAAAATCGAAATTCATTCATACAAATAATTTAATTCAAAACAAAAAAAGTGAACCTTGACTGATCTTTTCTTTGTAACAAAAACAAAACTTAAAAAAATAAAAAACAGGGAAAATAAAAATAAGAAAAAAATGTAAAAATATTCATGTCAAGCAGCTTGGTTAAACGGAATTTTGATAAAAATTAAAAATAGAAAATAGAATAAGTAAATAAAAAAATTTTAAAAAATTTAAAATTTAAAAATTTAAAAAATTTAAAATTTTAAAAAAATTATAATATTTTTATAGAGTTTTTTAGTGAAATTTTTCATTTATAAGGCTAAAAAATGAATAATTACTTGAGGTCGATCTTCTTCTTTAATAAATAATAAATTATCTTCACTCAGATCGTTTTCAATGTACCCATTGGCTGTAATGCCAGCAAACTGAAATGTATTTTTTGAAAAACTGTGGGTAAATTTTATAATTTCATTAATTTTAATGGCATTTTTTATATTTTATATAAAATAAAGAACTAATGAAGCTTTTTTAGCGAAAAAAGCTTAAATTCACATACTTACATAAAAGAGTAACGCAAATTTTAATGGCAACTCATTTTCCATATTCTATAACTTAAAACAAAGAGAAAATAAATTCGGAAAATTTCAATTTCACAAAAACATCTCGTACTAAATTTGTTAACACCAGATTGCTCGAGAAGTCCTTTTTGATCTGTAGTTCGTGAGAAAATATGTTTAACATTACCTTTGAAAAGAATGATGGATGTTTAATTTCAAGGAGTTTTAGAGAATTTAATTTAAAGATATTTTTTCCAAGCAGCTGAATTCAAATTGCTTCTCTCATTCAACCGCCTTAAATCATTTTTATTTGGTTTTCAATTTGAATTTTCCGCAACTTTTCGATTACAAGAAAAATATTACAAATAATATTACATATGCAGTAAATAAGACGAAAAAGAGGCAAAAAGATATGTAGAAATCTTTTTAGTTAATCAAAAAAAATTGGTGGATTAAATCTGTACTTTATTCGCCGCACCGCAACGAAAACACCATTTTCGAAGCAAAGAATAAATGCATAATTTATAAAAATATAATGAAAAAAATCCAGGATTCAAGAATAAGAGAAATAAGCCATCGTTAATTCGAAACCCAACCTTATTTAAAGAAATTCAAGCTCTATGCCTAGTGTGATTAAAAAGAAATGAGCCTCTGCATTATGAGCCTCTAACTAATAAATAATCTCAACCAATCTAAATATTGTTCGCAAATTGGCACAGCGACCTGGGAATAATGTACAGCCATAATCAAAAAGAAGTATCCGACCCTGATCACCGAAAAAAATTATGATTTGGCCCCAAAATGTTTTATTCCTTAGTATTTCAGAACTTCTTTTCTCTTGCAGAACTTTTTCCTTCAGTGAAAATTTCGATTCTCTGCACGATCTCAGAATTAGCCACGAGCAATTTTTCACCAAGAAATGGGAAGAACTGAGAGAAAGAAATTAAGAATGGCAAAACGCTAAAGAAAAAAACAGTGCATATCATATCGAATAAGGGTCTTTTTATGTATGGAAGCATCGCCTCCCAATTTTTATTTAAAATCAAAAAGAATTTTCCTACCAAATCAAGACGAGGATCTCGTTTCGTTTCCCTATTCGCTTACATCGAGATACTACTCCCCCAATGATAAATCAAAAAAGGCTATTTCCTACAAGCATAATACTGCCATTTCTCACTTCACACTCAACCACGCGTCCAATGAGAATCGAAAACCACTGATACCAAAAGGTTTTCCGCAGTAACCTCTCCTAATAACCAATAATTTAATAATTATTAAGGGTAATTCTAATATATAATTTTACACCGTCGGTAAAACGCACCCAGCTTTGCATACGCGACCTGCGTCGGATCGGAGATAAACTTTTATAAATAAAATTTATTTAAATAAGCACTAATATATCTATAAATGGGGTATTGTTTGACGGATAAATAAAGTTTTACGGATAAATAAAGCATGAGGATTTTGCGAAAAAACAAATTCCAACCTTGTCATCGATTGTTGCAGGTACCACATATCCAAGCTTCTCCTTGATTTGCCGAATGAATGGAGGGTCGCCACTGTTAACAAAAGATATTGAGGATTTTTGTCTATAGTTTAACTCACTCGCACGCTGCATGTTTCGTAAAGGAATTAGGACAAAATGAGGATAAGGGGCCGCACGTACTAATCAGCGGCGCAGTTTCTCAAAGCTGCGATATCAAATATCGTATAAAAGTTCGCTCAAACAGTTTGTTGTTGCGGTCGGCTGGTGCTGTCGGCCATTGAAATGCTTTTTTAGGCAATTGGAAATAAACATGTAAACAAGGGATTTTGCATATAAAGAGTGCATGTAGTCACAGCAAAAAGATTAATTAAATTAAATTTTTGCCAATGTCAATTCATCGACTTCTAAGGAAACGAATTCGTGGACAAAAAGAGTTGTGCCGGATGGTGCTTAGGGCATTTGCTTGTACTTGGACCACCGACTTTTTGGCCAGCCAAACTGTAATTGATGAATGCAACAAGGAGGCTGAGAGAGAAGCGATCATTTTGCAAGCAACAAAATAGATCATAAAGGACATAAATATGCGCTTCAAGTGAAGATTTTGAAGTGAAGCCGAAGATTTTCGGAGCCTCTTTCTACAAAAATATGAATGCGATAGGACTGAGTGTGATTACTGTGGAGATAAATTATTCTGAATGATAAGCTTTAAATTAGAGTCGTTTTCGACGAATAATGAGATGTTAAAAAAAGCGAAAGGTTCGAATGACGGCAGAGAAAATCTGATAACGATTTATGTGACAAACTGGTTGTTCGCTTCGATTTTATATGGTAGAACGGGTACCACTTGCGGAATTGCGACGAAAATTTGTCGCAGTTGCCTATGTAACAATTAAGGTTGAACATGATGGACATCTGATGTGTATATTTTTTTGTGGTATATATTAAATGTGGTATTTCATCAGCAAATTTTGCTTAATCAACTTCGGGTGCTATTAGAGACCCACTTGTCCTCCTTATTCCCCAAGCGATCGGGCAAAACCTCACCTCTCATCTTCGCAGCAAGTGGGAACGAACTTAACCGGAAACTTAACAAGTGAGCGCTTAATCATTTTAAAATTAGCTGAAATTTTAAATTCTCTGAATATTGTGAAAATAAAATTAAATCGCATATCTGTTACCGTTGCAGCTATTAAAATAATTTTTCTTGTGGTAATCAAAATCAACAAATTTTCGAAATAATTAATTATCGATAACATTTGCTCTGAAAAATGGTGTGTTGTGTATTTCTCTGGTGAAAGCACCTTCGACCATCAGTCGAGTTCCAAAAATAAACGAAAATATGGCGAGTGCTGCCAGCACAGAAATCGCAAATTAAACTAAGCACCTCAGCAAAAAATGCGGCAATTTTTTTACATTAATTCAATATTTTCTTCACTTTTTTTTTATTTCACTGATACTGATAACGACAAGTATTTTAATAGAAATTCGATCGATCTGCTCTTGCTTCAAAAAAATTTTTTGCAAAACTTCTCTCTAATACCACTAAATCAATAAATTTGATTATTTGAATAATATAACATTTTTGGATGAATTTTTATTTAAATATTAAAAATAAAAAGTAAATTTATATATGAGACTGAATGAGAAAGAACTATGAATTTCATAGCAAACGTGGAATAAGTGTTAGTTGCACTGGTAGCAGAATGAGAATATTTTGCCCAATTTTTCCAATTTTGATATGCTCACTTTAAAATAGAAGCACAGGTGAATCGCCTTCGCATTATCCACAATCAACCAAACTGACCGAACTGATTTGATTTGAACTGACTTAGATGACTACTCTCCGAGTGAAGGAAAAGTTGAATTAAGGGACAAAATTTCAAGGGACAAAAGCCTTTTAACGATGTGGCGAAATGCAAAAGCGGACAAAACTTCGGATTCCATTTAGTTTTCATTTGATTTTAAGTAAGAAATAAAGGAAAAACCGTAATAAATAATAAAATAATCGCTTAAATAATAAATAACAAACGCATTTTCTTAGGCCCAAAGAATATGAAAAAAGAATAAAGTTAATCCAAAAATAAATAAGTTAATAATCACGATTTATCCGATAACAAAAAAGTAACTTTCCTAGTGCTGAAATATACTGAAATTTGGCAAAACTATGGTACTTCGAGATTTGAGCGCACCTAAAACTAAACGTCCATAAATCTTTCTCGAATCCGTTTTTATTTTTTCTTCTAACACTTCACTCACCACTTTTGGTTTCTTTGCCTCCATTGGCTAAAATGCCCTTCGTTAGGAAATTATTTGGAAAGGAAGTTGAAACTGGTCTCTAGAGATATTTCTCGTGTTTCACTCTTAATGCTAGATTTATTTCAGTGGACGGAACTTCTAATGGCCTCATCTTAAACCCGTTATTAAAATTCGTGTGCTGATAATAACTTGTACTCCTGCCAAATTACTCCATAGCACTTCCTAACCTGCTAATACCTTCTAATTATATGTATATATATAAATGATAATGTCATATTATAATAATAATATATATCTATTTCACTCAGCAATTCATATAAATTATACTATGCATTAATCGGGTTAATATTTTCTTATGATTATTATCACCCTAATCGCTTCTATAATCTTCTTAACACACAAATGGTGCGCCGGTGGTTCAGTGGCAAAATAAATGTCGAGGAGGATTGAGGTTCGAATCTGCTGATGCACCACTCCTTGTCTGAGGACAGTGTCTCCTAAAGGAGAAAAACGAAGAAGAATACAATGGCTCAGTGGGTTATTGTTTAATTCGGAACGCCGATATTGAGGTTTTACTCCCTGCAGAAGTAAACGGAGAATCCTGGTGAGCGACTCACCTATACTTCTGTCGTCAAGGGACTCTGTGGCATATTTGCATAGTGCGAAAAGCCAACCGGCTAACCAGCAATAGGAGCGCTTTAAAAAAAAAGTAATGTACCATGTAGTAGAAATTAACATGGTAAATGAGAACATGTAATGGATGCTTCTTAGCTTTTAATGACACCAAAACTCTTTAAATTCTTTCTCTATCGAAATCGTTATTTTAAGATTTCTTGGCTTCCACTTTCAATTAGCAGGTTTTTATCCCGATAGTTTTTCTTGATTTTTTAAAGAATGGAACCTCTCATTGAATCCATAAATATTTTCTTCCACTTACTTGACAAATTATTTGTTTTTTCCTTTTTTTGGCGCTCTTTCTCATTAAAGGACCTTATTCAGTTGCTGACGGAAGCCAAGCACACGTGAATTGGTGCCTGTCACTTAAAAACCGAGTCATGCTGGCCGTTCACCCACTCGGCGGCAAGTTTCATCCCCCGGAAATTTATTCGGCCATCGTTTCCAAGATTTTCTTCAAAAATAATTTCAGCAAAAGTAGCCCTCACTTTCTTTATTTATCATTGTAATCATTGCTTTATAGAGTGATTTGCTTAACAAAAACCACTTTTCATCTCTGTAAAAACTCATCGATTTATAAACTATTTTATTGTTATTAGATTGTGCCGAGACGTTGTTGCCGCCTCTACGCCACAATAATACATGGCTTTGTGTTTGTCGGGTTCGCCGCCGCTTCGATTCTCATAAAACATAGCTCGGTTCAAGGATAAATGTTTTCTTTTGTCGTGCAATATGGACCAATTCCATCTTGATCGATCGATTTTTTTATTTATGTATGTAAATTGGTTTTAGATGAGCAGTCGTAGCGAACCGAATGGTGCTGGTGTCCCGTCTGCACTTCTCTTCACCAGCAGAGAAATGGTCCGAAACGAGTTTGCGGAGTAAAAGGTGAAAAGATGCGATTGGGAAGCAGGAAGTAAGCAGAATGCAAAAACTTAAAAATAATTATAATTTGAAAGATTTCCCTCTCAGTCCTTTGTGGCGACTTCGGCTGCTGTGCCTGAGGCCTGGTAGCTTGCGGTTATGTGCGCTGTATTAGCTGTTCACTGCTAACTGCTTTTGAACGCTGATCTCCAATGATGTTCCTGGAATTTGTAGTCAGAAGTATTTTCACAGCTTAAGGGCCACAGCCACGAGGTCTTCGACCACTGCTGGGACCATTTTGACCTTCGTTTTCCACATCTTTTCGAGGCACTCCTATTTTTCCAGTTATATTCCTTATTATTCATACATATTCTTTCTTCTCATATTCTTGATATTTCTATTTCTATCACTTGGTACTACTATATCTATCACCACTGCTGCTTTCTTGTCTACTGCTACGACACCTGGCCAATAATTGCTTCTATCTGGATGAGGAAGGATCTTAGCCTTGTTATTCTTCACGATTTTTTGGAGGATCTCCTATCCGATCTTGAGAATTTAGCCTACATTTTTTGTGGATTTTTTGTAGAGAGCTACTTGATTATGCCTTTAATATTCTGTTACTTCCATCACCTTATATCCTCTCACAATATGTTGGATAGTTTCTGGGGCCACATGTGCCATATCCGACTGCTGTAATGTCACTGCCTCAATCTTCTCTTTTAGCCCAGCTTTTTCCAGCAATTGATAGGTCATATCACTTCAGCTATATATCGATGGTACATCCCATTTTGCCTTAGCATGATATTTCCTGCTATGTCTGCTGCTTCAAACATTCTTCCAGCAATTCATCTTTTGGTGCCATTTTGCTGGTGTATTCTTGAATGCTCCAAGTTTCTTTCGAAATAGGTAGTTTTGGAAGCCACTAGGCCGCACACACTTTCTTTCCGGCTAGTGTATTTGAGTGTTAGATGTGATGTTATATATATATATATATGTATGGTCTGTGAAGAAGGCCTCAGAAACTGTTCAGCACATAGTGGAGAAAAATGCAAGCAGGAACAATACTGAAATACTGAAATATGTAACCAAGTAGGTGGCATCATCTGCAGGAAAAATAGCCTCACGAGCTCTAGTGGTTTTGACCTTTAAACTAGAAAAATGGCTTCAATAGAAACAATATCAGAGATCTCTGTCCAGAAGAGCGGAGTGCTAGGTATAGCTAAGATATTCTCAAGCTACCAGGCTTTTAACTGCTGGTGAGGATGGGCATCCCCACAGTTTTTTTAGAAAGGCTGCAATTTTCGAACTTTAAAAAATAAAATAGATGGATTTAA